ACATTGCCCTTCACTGGATGTATAATGAGCTGCACTAAACTACATTTTAGCATTTAGAATACCTAGCCATTCTTTTGAGGTTATTTTGGTAAAGTAACTCAAAAGTAATATAAAAGTAATGTAACTTATTACTTAAAAAAAGACAGTCATAAGTAATATGTACTATATTACATTTTGGAAGTAACTTGCCCAACACTGGCGATTACTAGAAAGGACTACAATGTTACTGAACAACTGGGATTTTAATTGTTGCTGTATTGTAGAATGTGGTAATGCGTTTCATTGTTGGTCTCTAACCTGAGTTTGCTTTATGAAAGGCAATTTTCACTGATTACATCATTTTTACAGGTAACTAGTAATTGTAACGGAATATACATAAGTAACCCTCCCAAACCTTTTGTTTTGTTAATTGCCCCCATTTGTCAGTCAGTCATACTCCAACTTTAAGCTGATCATATTTGCTACAGTCACAAACATGGCTTGTACACCACTCAACATTTTTTGATTTGCTCCATTCACACTGAAGTGCTCTGGTCTGGCCTATTTGTCATACATTCACTGAATAGCTCTAAAATGTGGTGGGTAATTACATTTCAACAACATAATGTGTACTCGGATTGACATACATTGGACAAAGCTTTAACTACGTAGTCATGACTTGAAACTTTGTAGAAAGCTGCAATGGACTGAAAAGTACATTTATGTCTGATTCTTCATCCAGTTTTAAAACTTTTAAATATTTTCTATTATTCAGAGGATTTTGAAGCCTTGTTGGGGGTATGTGCTCTCTGAGTGCTTCTTGTGCTTTTCAAATTTCACACTCGACTGTAAGGCACTTTGCTTTCTAGAGTAACTTTGAGGATTGCATTAGCTGATTTGGCAACTTGCATAATTTGAGAGGTCGCCAGAGTAACAGTCCCTCAGATGTCTGATCCCCATCGACAGACTTCAGAAGGATTCGGTTTTAATTATCCATTAGCACTATCTTCATTCTTACGAAAAGAAGGCATTTTTTCCTCTTGTGCATGCTGTGTAGCATAGCCTATCAGGCAGCTACAATGAACTAGTTGTTGGCGATTAAATCTGTTTCCCATTTATATGCTAAGTCCACCACAAAAGGGGTTTGCGCCAACATCATCTTCAATGATCGTAATCTTTATGACACAAAATGGAAATGCGGCGCCCTGAACTGCCTGTGCTGCTCAGATCCAACCACAGCACATAGGCGAGGGGTCAAGACCTGTCAGTGTGGCGCCTTATTCGCTGAAGAGAGAGTATGTGGATGTCTATGGCAGGAATGCGGAGCAGAATTTTAAGTAGGATTGTAATCGTCCACACGGCCCTGAATATTATTATAATCCTGAGGGTTGCAGAGTGAAAAATAACAGAAGGACAAATGACAAAGGGGAAATTATAAGAGGATGTGAAGGCTCAACAACCCCGGGGGGAAAACAGTCACAAAAGACAAGACCCAAGTGCATGGGACAAACTACAGCCCCATCACTTCTTAAAGATAAGAGGCCCAAGGCTGGTAGATTTGAGAGATGGTGGCTGTTGTTTGAAGATTATTCCCCTTTATCTCCTTTGACTAGATTTTGAACCTTGTGAAATACTGTTGAATATGAGACATAAAGCTTTATTTATTTTATAATATTCTTGCAAATCAGAACATTAGGGTGTTTTTGTCAATTAGATTTTCGATCTATATGGTTTATTGAAGATTTAAGCTTTAAGTGATGGTTTATTAAATGTAATCATTATAGTGTTTAATAATCAAAGTAAAAAATAAATCATATAAAAAACGTTTAACTTTTAAAAAGCACAAAAAGCTTTTGGATTTAAAGGGGCCCTATTATGCTTTTGGGGGTTTCCCTTTCCCTTAGTGTGTTTTATAGGTTTTTGTGCATGTAAATGGTCTGCAAAGGATAAAATCCTAGAGGGAGTTTCACGCACGCACGCACGCACACACACACACACACACACACACACACACACACACACACACACACACACACACACACACACACACACACACACACACACACACACACACACACACACACACACACACACACACACACACACACACACACACTATCTATCTCCCCTTTCTGAAAAGCCTCCATTGGATTCCTTTTTATACTCCTGTAACATAGTGACATCACTAAGCGGTTGACCAATCACAAGAGAACCGGCCAGCTAAACAATCAGAGCAGGCTGGGCACTGGTTTCAGGCAGAGGGTGAAAAGAGGTGCTGCAGCACAGGCAAAAATAAAGAGAAAAATGTTGAACATTAAAGGATATGAACATCTCACAGTAGAACAGTGGTTCTCAAAGTGGGAACCCCCTGGGGGGTGCAGAGGCATGACAGGGGGGGGGGGGGGGCGCGAGAGACCAGGAGGAAAAATGGTTATTACAAAAAAAAGAAGAAAAAAAAAGAAAAGAAAATAAATCATAATTTGAAAAATTATTGATTCGAAAATAATATGATACAGTACAGTACTATTACGTCTGGGTCTCTGTGTTTCATTAAAGCTCGGCTCTGTGTGTGTGTGGAACGAGCCATTTTGTGTGCGTGCGCGAGCGAGAGAGAGAGAGAGCGCACCGGTACCGGAGATCGTTGTTGTTAGCTTCTGGTGCTAGTGAGCTATGCTAACGGATATAAGGAGTTTTTTCAACAACAAAGTGGAGGAGAGTCCTCTCCTGTCAGACTGAGAGACTCAGTGAGCTAAAGGACTCTCAGTGTTATCTCAGTGGGTCTGAAATGTTTTGGTCTCCATTAATGTAAACAAATATTTCCGAGGCACACGTTTATATGATCTTTATAGTTATAAAAAAATAAGAGAATAAATGAAAAACAGGTATGAAATACTATATGACATTAAAAAAAAGAATAAAGTTTAAAAGGGGAGTGATTTGTAAAATATCCATAAAGAAATAGTAAATCTGTTTACAGTTCTGTTTCAAATGGGTGTTGAGAGATGTATCCATAGATCTCTTCATTTTGCTCTCAAACTGCACCAGATTGATGCAACTTAAATATTTAAAAATCTTCCCTATCCCCTATGTGAGGTCCACACACCACCTATAAAAATAGCACTTTACCCCTGCTTACACCTATATGCCGTGAGCTGATTATCGAGCCTTCATTGTAACAGTCGCGGGTACACTGTGTATATGCGTGGGGATTGTTGCAGTAGAAAATTCCACTGTAGCGACCGGTACATTAATGGGAAACCCTAAATGTTTGAGCACCCTCTATGAAACGTCAAGCTACCCCACAGCACCCCCAAAATAAATCTCTGAGCCTGACTATTTGTGTTGGGGGGGCCCGACTTTTTTTTTTTTTTCTCCAAAGGTGGGGCCTGACAGAAAAACTTTGAGAACCACTGCAGTAGAGGTACACAATACTAATAGGAACCTGAAAATGAGCATAAGGCACGTTCTTTTATCTTGTTTTATTATACTTTTAAAAAAAAGTTTGTATTCTGAACAAAGGATATGTATGGGCAAACCAAGCGAATAAATAAAAAAAAACATGCAACTGCACCTACTGTATGCACGAAAATGCAAATGTGCTGTTAACATGCATTGCATCAATAAGTAAGATGCAAAGGATGGTGGAGCGAGAGCTCATTGGGCAGAAATAATGCCTTTAGAAAATCCAACAGAAGATATTTTGGTGATGGAAGATGCTTGGAGAGGCTCAATTCATGATCAGCTGCTGCATGATAACACTGAAAACCTTAATGAAATATTCAGCGATGTGCTTGAATGTCTAAAGCTTGCTTCCGCTTCAACAAGATTACTTTTATTTATTAAGACATAACAAGGGCCGAGGCAGAGGAAAAGCCTATTCCTCACGAGGACTCAAATCTATCAAAGTTGACGTTTGTTTTCAAATATAAAACACATGTCCTTTCTTGATTCATATTTCATATGCTGCACCCGGGCGCTGGCATTACAAGCAGTGTGTTCAGTCCACTGAACTTCTTGTTCCGTGTGGTGAAGATGGTTTTGATAATGCACCGATGAACATTGCTGACAGGAAAGTTTTCAGTTCAATTGTAACAGGGGAGAAAAGCAGGGGCTCGCTGCAGACTCTCTCTCTCTTTCTCTCTTTCTCTCTCTCTCTCTCTCTCTCTCTCTCTCTCTCTCTCTCTCTCTCTCTCTCTCTCTCTCTCTCTCTTTCTCTCTTTCTATCTATCTCTCTCTCTCTCTCGTGTTCAACTGATGATGCATTTCTAAAACAATTCACAATGTTCTCGCATTTGATAAGTCCTTTTGATCCCTTTGCAAAGAAGACAGATAAAAATACTTATCGACTATGTTTGTTGCTAAATGACCATGTCTTCATGTAGCAATGATGTTGGCGTTACAAACTGATGTCGGATGGATATATTTCCTTAAAATAAGTGAAACCGGTGTAGTTTTAAATGAGCTAAAACTTGTATTTCTTTGTGTGTGTTAATGGCCGGGTAAAAGCAAAACAGGATTTATATATGAGTTGGGCTGCTGCATTTTGGATGAGCTGCAGAGGAGGTAGTTGCAGGTAGCTCAGCCAGGAGGGAATCAAGACATTAGATCAGGGGCGGCGGGTACTGTAGGCTAGGGAAGGCTAAGCTATTTCCTTTATCCTGTAATATGACTTGATGGATTTAAACTCCGCACACTGAGCTCTGATTGGTCAGCAGGCGGTGCTTTCATTGAGTTGATCTCTTTTCTATAGACACCAGAGGCGGGCAGCGTCAGGTTAAAAAAAGTTATTTAGCCTTCCCAAACCTGAGATTCACGCGCCGCCTATGCATTAGATGAAACAATAGGACCTGCATCGCCATCTTGGTAAGTAATGGGCGTATTCGTAGTTTCAGAGTGTATCTACAGGAGCGGGTTGTACTGTAGCAGCCATGTTAGCTTTGAAAGATAATAGGCTACATGCACAGTCACTTCCGCATTGTGCGTAGTAGTACTGCCCAACTGTTTCCGGTACAACAACAACAATGGCGACGTTCTACACCCGGTGTCTACAAGAGCTCCCGAAAATGAAAATTAGCGATGTTCATCGCATTTGCAGGACGACTAAAGCCCCAGCCAGCAAACTCGATAAAGGCTTCAAATTATATGCTGCGTCATATATACACAACTATGAAGGTAAGAAGGTAACTGGAGTAACAGGTACTAACCAGCTAGCTTATGCTACAGGTTACGCTAACGTCAGCTGTCAAAAGCTAGGTAACGCCAGAGCCCTATAGTAGAACTACTATTATACTACTACTACTACTACTACTACTATAGTAGACTACTATAGGGCTCTGGGTAACGCTATGTACTGTTTCTGGTGTTAATTCTTTAAAACATTAGCCATTTTACTCAAAAATACTATCGTTTAATAGCCTTATAGCCTAGCCAACTAAAGGTTGTCTTGTTGTTAGCCACACTGCATAATGGTATCAGCTTTTGTAAAGCAATGTTGCCATAGATGTTTTGACGTGAGTATAGATCTAACGCTGTTGCTCTGTTTTTCTTCATTCAGTGTCCAATAAAGACAGGCTGACAGGGCAGGTCAGCGTGAGAGCCTTGTGCTACAGGTCAATGAGGAAGAGCGAGACAGCACACAGTTTGAGTGTAGGCAGGCAGCATTGACACTGTGTTCCCCCCTGTTTATTGAGTTTCAGTTCAGTTAAGCATTAGTTTACCTTAAGGGAATCTCAACAGTGTCCTACTTCTCCCTGCTTTATCACAGCTGATTGGTCAGATATTATTACATTGATTATGGATGTGTAAGTTTGGGGGTTCAAATATATAGTCAAAACTGCTTTAATACAACTTTCAAGGCATCTTAGTTTCCAAAGAAGGTTCATTGTGGTATTGTAGGGTTAGAGGGTAACACTAAGCATTCAGGAATACATGCTTCTTCTAGGATAATGGGTCAGTAAAAATAACCAATAATTCTACTCATAACCTCCTGGCTCATTTACCACAAGTGAGGTAAATCACTAGTATTTCTTCTCTCTTTTTTAGATAACGCTTCGTGATTCATCACCAGTGGTGCTCACGCACAACCAGTGCTCCTGTGTTGCAGGAACTGTTTTGTGCAATCACACAGTAGCATTGCTGTTCCAAACGGCACACTACACTGAACTGAACATGCCAGTTGTGCCGCCTGTGCATAGCTGTACTGAATCGGAACAGCAATGGCACAAGCCGCGAACAATGGTAATTTCAATAAGGTTCAAATACTTCTTTCACAGAGTTTTTGTTTTAAAGTGACTCAACTAACAGTAATTGTCTTTTCCTTAAGGGTGTGAAGCCAGGGCCCATCAACTCCATGGTCTTCACCAAGCCTGTACCAAATAGCAGAGGTGTGGACTCGAGTCACATGACTTGGACTCGAGTCAGACTCGAGTTACCAATTTGATGACTTTGGACTCGACTTGACAAAATCACAAAACACTTGCGACTCGACTTGGACTTGAACACCAATGACTCGGCACTTGACTTGGACTTGAGCCTTCTGACTTGAGGTGACTTGATAATTTAATTCAGGGGTCTCCAACACGCCGATCGCGAGATGCCGCTTGAAGAGCAGACTCCCGTCGGGGAGAGCAGAATCTTCAGCCGCTGCAACTCTTGCTGAGAATCCATGCAGGCAGGGGCGGGACTTTATTTTGCTGAGCCAGCATGCGGCCAATCATATGCGAGGACACATTAGGATCATACCATTATGTGAAAGAAGGGTGGGGGGCAGACGCTCCAAAGACAGCAGGTGTAGTGGTACAGGCCAGCTACAGAGCGACGGGGAGACGGGGAGACGGATTTAAATGCAAGCGCGTCGGAAGAAGTCAAGAAATTTGCGAAAACCGAAAAAAGAAGCAGCTTCTGGCTGCATTTCAATGATATTGGAGAAAGCAAAGCTGAGAGCAGGATTTGTAAAATGAAAATAACCTTCAGAGCAGGGTTTTTTTTTTGGTAACCACTCAGGATTTATTTCCAGAGGTGGGAGAAGTTCAGATCTTGTACTTGAGTAACAGTACCAGAGTGTAGGAATACTCGGTTACAATAAAATATCCTGCATTCAAAATGTTACAAGTAAAAGTACAAAAGTAATAGCATCAAAATACAGTTAAAGTACCACCTGCAGAGGGATCTAGATTCAGGTGTTCTTTTCCCCATAGAGACGCCTCGCTGCACATTATCCCTTGCATAAAGATAGATTGTGGGTCCCTTATAACATGTTGTACACAGTGGAAATAAACATTCTGGTCACCTCAACATCAGGGATCTTATACATTAAACTCCTTCTGAATCAAACCGTCACGGTAGCATTACCTTACTGATCCCTCTTACAATAGAAGAAAAACACGTTACTTTACCAGCAGAGAGAAAATGGATTATTAAATTATTAATGTGACTAATAAAGAGCAGTTTGATTATTAAGTATTATTCTGTTGATCGATGTCATTACATTTGTTGAAAAGCACATAAGGACTTGTTTAAGACTCGTTTTGTCAAAGTTTAGGACTTGGACTTGACTTGAACTTTCCCATCCTGACTTGAGACTTGACTTGGACTTGAGCGCAAAGACTTGAGACTTGACTCGGACTTGAGCGCAAAGACTTGAGACTTGACTCGGACTTGCAAAACAATGACTTGGTCCCACCTCTGCCAAATAGGATGGTGCAGACTGGAGTAAGGTAATTTTAGCTGAAAAATTGTGTTTCCTGTGTTTTTAAAATTCATAATGCTATTCTGGTGCTGTATTCCTTACCTTTATTGTCACATTAATGTGCTATATTGTCTTTGCCATTCTTTGTAGGAGTGGATTCTACAGAGGCATGGTGGGGCCATTACCAGATCCCTGCCTGTTCAGAGTTACGGAGGCATACTCAGCATTCAGCATTGAAGACAGACCGCTTGTGACCACAATGAACATGAGACCTGACAAGCCCCTTGTGGAAAGTGCCTTCGGGATGGTGCAGGAGGGCAGTGTTCTGTCCTATCAGATGCCTGCTTTGACGTCTCGGTACAATTCACACTGACACACCACCAACACCCCACTTGCCCATAGAGGGGTATGTGATCTTGCCATGTGATTTACCGCTGGTGTGCTCAGAAGAGGAGCAACTACATATGAACAGCTTATCTGTTGATTTGGAAATGTCTCACAAAATTGAGGAGGGTACCCGTGAGCAAAGCTCTAGCTCAGAGTGGCATCTGCTCCGCAAACCCAGGGTTACTGCCTCTAGGTTTAGAGAGATTTGTCACGTTAGAGGCTAACTCTCTTGCAGAGCGAATACTCAAAGGTACAAGGCAGACTGCAGAAATGAGGAGAGGTGCAGAGATGGAGCCCACAGTAGCAGCTGAATACAGTAGACTGGCAAACGTGAACTACTCCCCTTGTGGCCTTGTCATTCACCCCTCTACGCCCTGGCTTGGTGCCTCCCCTGATGGAGTTGTTTTTGACCCAACAGAATATCCCCAATTTGGCCTTGTTGAATTCAAATGTCCCAATGTCCCAAATGATGTCGACTGCAAATATGTGCAGATGGAATGTGGCTCCCCTAAGCTCAAGAAAAGCCATGCCTATTACTGGCAAGTACAGGGTCAACTTGCACCTGGTGCAAAGAATATACACAGATCCAGAAGTGCAAAGAGCAATCAGAGAAAAAGTAGACGCATACATGCCGAAGTACCTGTCATTAAAAAAGTAGTGGGCACTGTAGCCATTGTTAACTCTGTAAGCAGTTAGCTGCTAGACCCTGGCTCAGCTGTTTTTTAGGAGGCAATCCCTCAATCATATGTTCTGAATGACAACAAAATGTGATTTCAATATTGTATTTGATATTTGGTTTTTGATATATATTGTTTGTCACATTTCATATATGTAAATAAATATACAATTGTATTTAAAAAGACAATAAAGTGAAGTGATTTTTTGTAATTAATAGTAAATCATTGCATTTGTAAGAAATCATCAACACATTGTAATTTGCAATTTACCATTTATTCAAACAAAACACTGGCGTGTGTTAGGCAACACAGGATTACGGTGTGCTCACCCAGCTTAATCACAGCTACCTGCACAGGTGTCATCATCTTGTCTTATTTCACCCATTTCTTGACCAGTGCTTTGTTCTGATAGTTTGACAGCATACATGCTACTGCAAACAGTTGGTTGATGTTGTAGGCATGGGACAGGAGGATGACACCATCAAAAAGCTTGTTCTCTTTTATCCTCCTAATGACACGCTCCACATGAACCCTCAGTCTGGCAATGGCCTGTGTCTCCCTCACCTGATAGGCTGGCATTTGCTTCTGCTGTGACAGAAAAGGTGGGCAGTACACCTTGCATTTGCAGCAATCGCTGATCAGGAAGCCCTTATCTACCATCACTGCCATGTTTTCAGTCAACAACGCAGCTATTCCAGATTGTTTGAAAATCTCCTTGTCGCTGACAGAACCACCATACAGACTGGAAACAAATGTCACTGTGCCATGTGGGGCTATGCCAACCAGGGCTTTCATGGTGCAGTGAGATTTGTATGTAGAATACATTTCACTTTGGAGGAGGAGTGAGGATGGTGTTTGACACCTCAGCTCTGTGCAATCCAGGATCACCTGTGTGTCTGGGAAATCTTTGAATGCCTCTGGGAGGTGGGCTTGAACTTCTGTAGGTGTAAGCCAGATGCACTGTGACCCCAATAAAGTTGTAAGAAAACTTGTCCATGTTGCAATGATGCGGTTCACAGTGGACTGGTGTACGTTGAAGCGGTTTGCAAGGTCCCTCTCTTTCAAACCCACCGACAGGAAGCATAGAAAAAGAAAGAACTCGTCAATTGGCTGAAGCAGCTGTCTCTGGAAGATTAAAACAAAAAAAGGTTACTATATTAATGTCATGAGTGTAGCACACTATGGGAAAAACATGAAGTTGTTTTAGTTCTCTGATGTATTCAAAAAGGATTGAGTACTTTAGCCTTTTAGCCTACACAAAAGCAATGAAATGTCGGAGAAACATTTTCCCTTCAGTTTGTGTTTAGATTGTGTGTTAAAAGAAACGTAGCCTACCGTTGATGGACGTGCGTGTGTAACCACTTCTTCATTCCTCTTGGCAGCTGATATCGCTCTTGTAACACGAACCATTTTATGAATTGAAGGCTCAATCAAAGACCAGAAGGCCATCAGGTGGTTATAGCTCGGGAATCTGTACACAAAAGACACATGTCAGTCATTAATTGACAGTAAATACAATCGTGTTAACTGTAACACATGGGCTAATGTTTTCCTCTTGTTTGCTATAATACATTACAATTCAAACTGATTAAGAAGGCACTTGGTGCAGGTATAGTAATCTACAGCAGTAAAATGTAACAACTACATTAAAGCAGCAGTAATAATAATCTAAAACATACAGGGAACATTTTACACACAATGACTACTTTTACTCTTCATTCTTAAGTGTGCAACTGGGGGAAACGCAGTGGATATTGACATACTTTTACTTTGGTAAGGTTTTGAAGATCTTCACTTGTAGTAAAGTATTATCAGTATGTTGTTAGTATTAGTATGTTTTACACCACATTTAGTTAACCTTCATAGTTTCTAGTTACTTTTTATATATGAAAACACATGATTTATGATTCTACATGTTCAGTTCAGAAGTATTTTAAAACCATAGTATTTGTACTTATACTTCAGTTAAGTTGACAAAAAACACACTGGACGCTGCACTAGGTCAGAAACCAGAGGAGACTGAACTCCACCACAGACGGACCACTTTTGGTCAAAATGTCCTCTCCGTTAACACAGGGGTATCTCCTCTTGCACTTTATCTAGCACTTTTATCTTTTCTTGCACTTTATATGTCGTAGCTGCTATATTGTACTGCCATGTGGTAAATACTTGTGTATGCTGCTCTTGCTCTTTTGCACTTTTTGCATATCATGTATTTTGTTTTTACCATGTTTGTAAAATGTAATTTTCTTAAATGTTTAATGTGAGGGACTGCAGATAGAAATTAGCTCAAAGCTAAATCTGGCACTGTTACGCTTGATACATTTTAATGTTTTAAGTGTTCATTACTGTGCATTGTCCCTGCCAAATAAACCATTAAATAAATAAAATATCCCAACACTGCATGCATATAGTCAGCGGTCACACGGCAGGTAAACAGGATTCTTTATAAGCTAACCCATCTCAAAAACTTGGATAGAATTGAGACAAAACATTACCTGGTATAGAATCGGATGTTGTCGTCGGAGCCAGCAAACCGCTGTAAGCAAAACTCTCGCTGGACTCTTAACTCCTGCAGTTGCTTCTGCAGATCCTCCACTGTTTTGGAGTTGTCTTCTGTAGCTTGAGAGGACATGTCCAGTGAAGCTGGTTCAGGGGTTGAGCAGTAATCATGGTCACGAACATTGATGTGCTCTTCCTGCTCCTCCCGAGAGACTGGTTCAGTGGGCCGCTCCCTTCTCTCCCAAACACTAGCCCGCTGTGTTTGAGCAGTAAAGTGATTCCACTCAAACAGAGTTGGTACAGCACCTTTCACAAGCCTCCTACGGCCATCAAGGGTTTTTGGCTCTATTAGTTGATCCGTAGCGAAGTGACGACTGCAGACCTTGGAGTGAGAGGATATTGTAAAGTTATCGCGCCGTATTTTTACCAGCCACTGTCTTCGCAGCTTGAGTTCGGTCGGAAAGCCATGGAAACTTAGGACGCCGTTGAATTTAGCTGACGCCGTACAAAGTGGGACACAGCAGTGCTCGGAGTAGTTATTCACTTGTCTTTGCAAATGTTCCGTTTTGAAAATCTTCCGTCGACTCATATTTAAACCATAGATTTAAACAGTAAAACCTTTGTGGACGATCTCCCGCTCAGCTACGCAGACCGGAAGTAAACCGGAAGCAGCCGAGCCGTATTATGGCTAAGGCGGAAGTACGTCTCAGACCCTAGTGCATGTAGCCTATTGGTTGTCCAGTGTCACACCCCAGGTACAGATTTTGAAAGGAACGTCATGGATGGGGGAGTCCTTCTCTGGAAAAAGAAGCAGCTCTGTTTTGATTAGGTTGAGGTTTAGTTGGTGTGCAGACATCCACTGAGGGATGTTAGCCAGACAAGCAAAAATGTGTACGACCACCTGGCAGACCATACACTTAATTGCTTTTCATACTAAAAATAAAACATTCAATCCGCTGTTGTTTGAAAGGAAAACTTGAGGAAAGATGAGCTCGATTTCTTTCCATTCTCTTTACAAAAACACATTAAAACTGTGAGACGCATCTTTGTTATTTTGGCAAGCAGAGTGCAAAAAATGAATACCAACGGCAAAAAAATATTTATTGTAGATAGCTCCATCTTTAATGTCAGAAAATGAAATAAAGAAAACAAACAATTGTTCTGGTAGAGTCACTCAATAGGTTTTTGATGATCTTGCCCTGTGAATGCGGGCGCACTGCTGATATTATCCTGATATTATATTATCTTGGCACAGCGTTGTTATTCGATTCATATTTTGAAGACTGTGTGTTCCAGTGAGGCCCTCTCTTCTAAAGCTTTAGTACACAACATGTTCTTATGAGGTCTGATATTGAAAGGAGATACAGATCTGCAGAGCAGAAGAGTGATAATTATAGCAGCAGCAGACTTATAAGGACTAGACTACAGAGGAGTAAATGGTATACGAATGTGAATAGACGGTTTTATTAATCAATTCCTGACCAGTATCAGGCAATTTGAAATGTGTTTGCCCTTCCCAAGGACCTCTGAAGATCAGTCAAGACTTGGCTGTGATTGAGTGGCAGAAAGGGCGATGTCGAATGATAAGAACATTAAACAAAATTGTGTTGTATTTACTTGCACTATTTTTTCAGTTTTTCAGTTTTATTGTGTTGCACTGTTGGTGGAGCCTGTGACCTAAGATTTTCATCATCATAACTACATTGTAGCTATGTACGCATCACCAATAAAAGCCTTGAACCTTGTTTATTTTACTTTTAACACACCTATAAGCTGGGCAGATGAACGACTTGGATTTCTCCTCCCA